GGACATAGGAACAGTTATTTGTAGGTTTTCTGTAAATTTTAAATTTGAATTCATTATTACCCCTTTAAAAATTAAAACATCTAGAAAAGGCAATGAGTTTATTTTCTTCAAACTCAAAAGTAAAGTTTATAGAATGGGCTAAGCTATTTAATTTTCCAAGGAAATGGTGTATATCTACATTTTTGGGCATAAGACACAAAATATCATCAACATATCTGAACCATTTAGCTCTATTAGGGAGGATTATGTTAAGCAACCTTGTTTCAAAAAATTCCATGTATAGGTTACTAAGAACAGGTGAAAGAGGATTTCCCATTGCCATACCAAACTTCTGAGTGTAAAACTTATCATTAAATACAAATTTTGCATCAACAATGCAAAGTTTAATAAGTTTTAATGATAGTAGGAACTGGCAATGGTAAATCATAGTTAATCGAGTTCTTCAGATAAGAAACTTAATAAATCATCAACAGGAACTTTCGTAAACAAGGAAGTAACATCAAAACTAACCATGTTAAAATCATTTAAGTCAGTCAAAGGGGCTTAATTTATCAACCAAGTCTATGTTGTTTTTAACATTAAAGTTAGAAATTTTGCCAACAAGAGGGCTCAAAATATCAACAAGCCATTTGGATAATTTATATGAAACTGACCCTATGGAGCTAATAATTGGTCTGACTGGATTCCCTGGTTTGTAGTGTTTTTATTAGTCCATACATGTAAGGTAAAGATGGATTAGTGGAAGTAAATTGTTTGACTAATTCATCTTTGCCTTTCAGTAGAAGTTTTATTGTTTTATTGAAATTGCTGTTAACGGTTTCTAGGGGATTTTTCCTAAGTTTAGAATAGGTTTCAGTATCATCTAAAAGATTATTAATTTTTTCTTGGTAATCATTTTCTTTCATAATTACTATTGCATTTATTTTGTCTGTTTTAGTAAGGCGCAAATTTTTATTGTTATTAAGTGTATCATAAGACTTAAAGAATCTTTGAGGGCAATTGGGAATGTTTGGTTTTAACATAGAGCTATATACCATTCCTTTACTAATATTAATTTCATCAGAGGATAAATCAGAAAATTTTTCAAAGTTACAAAAGGCTTTTGCAATTTCAACATTATTAAATTTTTTTGAAGTTGCAAAACTTAGGCCAAAACCTAGAGCGGCAGTTGTATGTTTGTCTAAAATTTCATCTGATAAGTTAATTACAAAATTATTATTAGCATGTTTTGTCCAATCACTATTTTCAATTAAAAAGTCTAATTTTCTCTGTAGTTTGCTCTTGAGTTCATTACAAATTCTTCTGAGTTTATTATAGCAATGATCCAACATACTGTGTTTCCATTCTGATGGAATGGCCTGATTAAAAGAGTATTTTTTGTTTCTCAATATTTTGAATGCTTCCTTCTCCTGTATTTTAGTTATTTCAATATGTTTCTGAAGAATAATTCTCATAAAATCATCAAAAGGACAATCTCTCATGTCAAGGAGTCTCTTGGGTAAAAGAGACTTGGGCAGAACTTGTTCATTTAAACAATTTTTTAAAAAATTAAGTCGAATTTTTAACTTGTGGGACTTATCAGTGCAGAAGAAAACTGTGAAACAAAAGATATATGATTAGGAAAGCTTATCGAGAACATTCTGAAGAGTCGTGTGGTATCCATTAATGCAATAAGATCACAGTAAACATCACAGTAAACACAGTAAACATTAATGGATACCACACGACTCTTCAGAATGTTCTCGATAAACTTTCCTAATCATATATCTTTTGTTTCACAGTTTTCTTCTGCACTGATAAGTCCCACAAGTTAAAAATTCGACTTAATTTTTTAAAAAATTGTTTAAATGAACAAGTTCTGCCCAAGTCTCTTTTACCCAAGAGACTCCTTGACATGAGAGATTGTCCTTTTGATGATTTTATGAGAATTATTCTTCAGAAACATATTGAAATAACTAAAATACAGGAGAAGGAAGCATTCAAAATATTGAGAAACAAAAAATACTCTTTTAATCAGGCCATTCCATCAGAATGGAAACACAGTATGTTGGATCATTGCTATAATAAACTCAGAAGAATTTGTAATGAACTCAAGAGCAAACTACAAAGAAAATTAGACTTTTTAATTGAAAATAGTGATTGGACAAAGCATGCTAATAACAATTTTGTAATTAACTTATCAGATGAAATTTTAGACAAACATACAACTGCCGCTCTAGGTTTTGGCCTAAGTTTTGCAACTTCAAAAAAATTTAATAATGTTGAAATTGCAAAAGCCTTTTGTAACTTTGAAAAATTTTCTGATTTATCCTCTGATGAAATTAATATTAGTAAAGGAATGGTATATAGCTCTATGTTAAAACCAAACATTCCCAATTGCCCTCAAAGATTCTTTAAGTCTTATGATACACTTAACAATAAAAATTTGCGCCTTACTAAAGCAGACAAAATAAATGCAACAGTAATTATGAAAGAAAATGATTACCAAGAAAAAATTAATAATCTTTTAGATGATACTGAAACCTATTCTAAACTTAGGAAAAATCCCCTAGAAACCGTTAACAGCAATTTCAAAAAAAACAAAAAACTTCTACTGAAAGGCAAAGATGAATTAGTCAAACAATTTACTTCCACTAATCCATCTTTACCTTACATGTATGGACTAATAAAAACACACAAACCAGGGAATCCAGTCAGACCAATTCTTAGCTCCATAGGGTCAGTTTCATATAAATTATCCAAATGGCTTGTTGATATTTTGAGCCCTATTGTTGGCAAAATTTCTAACTTTAATGTTAAAAAACAACATAGACTTGGTTGATAAATTAAGCTCCTTGACTGACTTAAATGATTTTAACATGGTTAGTTTTGATGTTACTTCCTTGTTTACGAAAGTTCCTGTTGATGATTTATTAAGTTTCTTATCTGAAGAACTCGTTAACTATGATTTACCATTGCCAGTTCCTACTATCATTAAACTTATTAAACTTTGCATTGTTGATGCAAAATTTGTATTTAATGATAAGTTTTACACTCAGAAGTTTGGTATGGCAATGGGAAATCCTCTTTCACCTGTTCTTAGTAACCTATACATGGAATTTTTTGAAACAAGTTTGCTTAACACAATCCTCCCTAACAGAGCTAAATGGTTCAGATATGTTGATGATATTTTGTGTCTTATGCCCAAAACTGTAGATATACACCATTTCCTTGGAAAATTAAATAGCTTAGCCCATTCTATAAACTTTACTGTTGAGTTTGAAGAAAATAACTTATTGCCTTTTCTAGATGTTTTAATTATTAAGGGTAATAATGAATTCAAATTTAAAATTTACAGAAAACCTACAAATAACTGTTCCTATGTCCACTATTATTCCTCGCATCAAGATAGAGTCAAACTGTCTGTTTTTTCATCAATGTTTTTGAGAGCTTTACGAATTTGTAGTCCTGAGTTCATAGATGAGGAAATATCCAAAATTTATGAAATAGGTAATGATTTAAAATACCCAAGAAATGTAATTGATAAATCTTTTAAAGTTGCTAGAAATACTTTTTACAATCCAAAAAGGGACAACCAGCCTTATTCAACTAAAAATATGTTGGTTCTCCCTTACCATGAAAACTTGGTTGATATGCCTTCTCTTCTTAAGACTTTTAATATTAAAGTTGTATTCAAAATCTTGATACAGTAAAAAAACTTTTGATAAAGAATTCCCCCCAAAATGCTGATGGATGTGTCTATAAGGTTCCTTGTAAAATTTGCGATAAAGTTTATTACGGTCAAACTGGTAAAAATCTCGAACTAAGATTAAAACAACATAAATATAGCATTAGAACTGGACAAGATTCCAATGCTCTATTTATTCATGTAAGAGATTTTAACCATCCAATTGATTTTCAAAAAGTTGAGAAAGTAGTATCAAGCAAGTCCATGGTCGACAGGAATATAATTGAATCTTGTTTCATAAAAAGCAGTTTTGACAATAATATGAATATTTCCTTTGGTTTATATAAATTAGATCCATTTATAATTAATAGAATTTGGGAAGAATTTAATAATACACTGGACAAATAATCATTTTTAAATTTTCTTGGGTAGAATAGTTTGTGGGTGAGTTGTGCAAAGGACCTATCCAAGTTGGGTCGGCGCGCGTCAGGTGTTTAACCGTTGTGGGATCTGATAGTGAGGTGCTGGCCAGACCCCTTATATAGCTTCCTTGGATGCTTTACTTTCATAGTTCCTTGATAATGTGAGTAGTCACGAAAGCGCTTGGAATTTCTTTTTAGATGTTTCTTTCAGAGTGGTTGTTTTGCATATATATATATATATATATATATATATTATATATATATATATATATATATATATATATATATATATATATATATATATATATATTCTTCCCCCTTCCTCTCCATGACCTTCAGAAGGGTAAACAGGGTCACTTTAATAGCCTGTACACCTTAAGGAGTCTTGTGTACACAGTCATGAGAAGTAGCTAACATATAATTTTCAACGCTCCTCGTGTCTAGATTTTTTCTCTCGATTTAATTAAGGGACCAAACTCTCTACATTAGTAGCTACTGTTTACCCCCTCCCCCTCCCCCTCCCCGTCCAAACTGAAGTGTGTTTCGCCAAGCAAGCAAAATTATCTCCTACTAATTTAAGTGCTGAAAAATAAGCTCAAAGAATATAAATAAAACTTGGATGATACATGAAAAATAGAACAAGCGATTATGGTGAAAAATTTGGAATAATACAAAATGAAAACATAAAACATTCACTATCAGTATAATAAACAAACTATTATATATATATATATATATATATATATATATATATATATATATATATATATATATATATATATATATATATATACACGAAGTACATGATTGAGGTTAGGTTTCGTGGGGTTGGATTTGAGTACCTGAGGTGAGGATGAGGTTAAAGGTGGTATAGGATGGGGGAAGGATATGGATTTGGCTGGGAGTCTTACCTCTAGCCGGTCAGTCCTAGGCACCTTCTGGGCGGGAACCACCTGCTGGGATACGACGGCGTTGATAGGCGAGGCCACGGCGCCGTCCGTCATGCCCATAGTCATGACCGGCGAGGAGGCAATGTAGGGGTTGAAGTTACTCATGGCGGGGATCCCAGCCAGGTAGGGCGCGGAGTTGTGCTGCGGGCAAAAACAATAATCCTCAATCATCGTAACATAATAACAACAATTTTATAATACTAAACTCACTCAAAACAGTGGTGGCTCATAAATATTAACCTTAAGAAATTATTAAAATAAAAAAAAACACGAAAATAAAAGAAATGGCATTTTATGAATCTCAACGGTTGATGTCTTATCATGCAGGTTCACTGAGATGATCTGACACCAACATGAGACATTTTCCAGCATAAAATATACCACCTCACCACAGACCGATACAAGCTTTTTCGACCCCTCAAATAACAATTTACATAAGCAATATATAGAAGCGAAACTGTACAGATATTTTCAGTAACATTCGTAGGGTAAACGTCCATGTAGGCTGAGATAAGAGACGGTAATATATTGTGAGGATGAAGCAGAATGCGGCTGGTGTAGCAAGGAGTACCTGATGGTGTATATTTAGAGTAGCTGCCATATAACAAAGGGGTCTAGAACGTACGGCTGAGTACCTTGGTGTAGGAGGTGCTGTATTAGGTAGTGTAGCTGATGTAGTGGCTGATGGCGTCTCTGGGTTACTGTGTGAGGGGGTAGAGCTAAAACGTTTTGCTGGAGCAGTGATTAAATGGGGGTGTTGCTGGGAGAGGCAAAATGATAATAAAAAAAAATATTTTTTTACCAATACGTCTGTATATTTAACAAGATACCTCATGTAATTCTAGTTCTTTGTATTTGTTAGCTTGTCATCTTAAATGCTTTCAAGTCGTACTGGTCAATATTGCAGCCACAGTTAGTTAAATGGTGCAGAAAGCATTCGTAAAATAGGCACGTCCTCTTCGCAATAATGCCATTTCAAATTATTGTCAGTGGCATTAGTCAAAAGACAGGAAGCGTAGAATATGAAGATATCACTTAGATTTACCAGGTTCCTCGTTACTAAAGCAAGGATCAGTGAAGCACAGCCAGCATACAAGACTTCCGAACTGGAGGTCTTGAAAAAGGACTGGAGTAATTATTAAATTACAAATGAAGTGCGTTGGTAACAGTTTGGCGAGAGACTGACCGTACCTAGTGAAAGTGTCAGGAACTTTCCTTCCTTAGTATCAGGGGCTCCCCTTGCCTGGTGTCAGGGGATCCCCCTCATGGTGTCAGGGACACTTCTTGCTTGGTGTAAGGGGCTTGTATGGTGTCAGGGGATCCCCCTACATGGTGTCAGGGACATTCCTGCCTTGGTATGAGGGGATCCCCTTCATGGTGTCAGGGACATCCCATGCATGGTGTCAGGGATTCCTCTTTAACTTCGCATTTTGGCAATCCTCGTAAACAAATTAAAATGAATCAGGAAGGTTGAGGGATTAAGGTGATGCAGAGAAGGAAGAGGAGGGATTAATATGACATAGGAAAGAAAGGAAAGGGGAGGGAATGGATTAAGGTGATGTTGGGGGATAAAGGAGAACGAGGAGGGAGTGGAGGAGGAACTGGATCTCTTCACTGGGTTGATCTGTATAGCATCAGAATGCAACTTTATTTCTTATCAAGAGGCAGGTCATGTCTATCAAGCGGAAGGTGAGTGATGGGAGGTTGGAGATGAAGGGGATGGAAACATGAGGGAAGAGGGATAAGGAAAGGAGTTTCTCCCTCAGTCTTCTCCAGACTCCAGGAAGCTGGTGACGCGCACCGCACGACTGTGGGCGACAACCGAGAAATTATGATACGCTGCCCTGGAAATTTATCATTATAATAATTATTAGAATCTATAGTTTACCATTTTAAAGGTATCATCATCATAATTGTAATTGTTGTTATTACCAGTCTAGCTTTGATGTATCCGGTGGTGGTGGTTTTAGATCGAAGCGTGTGTGTGCACACTTGAGTTTGCACACTCAGGTATAGTTGCAAGGGTCGAGTCTTAGCCCCTGGGTCTACCTTTTATTAATAAAAGCTGTGGACTTTTGATTCGAACTCGAGCCACAAAGTGATACCACAGTCACTTTACTAAGTCACCACTGCACTTAGTAAAATCTGTAACGTAGTTCCTTATTCTTTCACACACACACTGTCGTCATTTAGGCATGTAGTGGGATTGTAGGATATGGTACAGTGTGTCTGGGACTCCAGCGTGTGATAGGTTGCTGCGAGCTTTATTAGTGATTAGTTCAGGTAGCCAGTGAGTGGTCTTTGGCTATCAACTCTGGATGTATTGCTTCCTTAGTGAAGATCTGTGGATCCTCTCTCGACAATCTCAGCTCCCCATGAATGTAATAATACTCGGAGAAGTGCTAAACTCGTAGGGGTCATATAGCGTGTGGGAGAATGGGAGGTATTCGGGTCCGCTCCAAGAAAGGGGAGAGCAAGTCCAGTTCCTTGGATTAAGAGCTCACCGGCATCAAGGAACCTTCCCTCGAGGGGCCTCGGAGTCTAGATAAAGTACTAAAGAGTGAATCAAGTCCGGTTTCTTTGGGGATTTACCCAAAGTTTCCCGGAACTTATATTCCTGGGAGAAGTCTTCTATCTGTGTTTGTTTCACCAGTATTTGATGGGCTCAGAAAACTCATAAGTTAGCTTCTTCATTTTAATGAATTTGAAAACCCGAGATGAAACATTCAGAAGTTAATTCAAAGGGGAATATCTGGTTCCATCAATGACTAATTTGGTTATTTCTGCTATGTTCAAGCAAACTTTTTCCTCATGCATAATGTTTGCCTTTTGTTGAGGCTAGTCGTCTTCATTTGGTATCTAGCTTGCCGCGTAGTCATGATTCATTACCTTTGCCTTTGATGAATTTCGAGTTTTTTTTTTCTACTCCCGGAGCCCGGCCTTGGGCCAGGTTCGTTTGGTGTTTGTCTGATCACAGCCAGGCTGTTGCTGCTGGTGGCCCGCATATCCATCACAGTCTAGTTGATCTGGCACCTGGTGAAGATACCTTTCCAGTTTCCTCTTGAAGACTTCTACATTTGTCCCAACAATGTTTCTGATATCTTCTGGTAAGATGTAGAATACTCTGGGGCTACGGACGTTGATACAGTGTTCCCTTATTGTGCTCACTGCACCCCTGCTTTTCATTGGATTTATTTTGTATTTCCTTTCATATCTCTCGCTCCAGTATGTTATGGCAGTGAGGGACAAGGCCCTCACGTACTTTCCAAGTATATATTATCATGCATCTTTCCTCCACTCCAATTAGTACATATTTAGGACCTTAAGACTTTCCCTGTAATTTTAATGCTTTATTGGCTCTATGCGGGCAGTAAATTATCTCTGGATCTGTTCCAGCACGGATGTCTATCTTGTCCAAAACGGAGCTATCAACATTGAACAACATTCTAAACAAGAGAGCACAAACAATTTGAAAAGTGTCACCACTGGCATTATTTCCCTTGTTTTGAAAGTTCTCATTATCCACCCCTACTTCCTGGCAGGGTGGATGATAAGAACTTTCAAGGTAAATAGTGCCAGTTGTGACACCTTTCAAATCGCTTGTGCTCTCTCGTTTGGAATCCTGTTCAATGTTGATGGCCCGTTCAAGACAGAGATATTAGAACTGGAACAGATACAGACCACACAGAGCCAATAAAGCATTTAAATTACCGAATTCTTCTTTGTAGAGACATGGAAGAAGAGAAAATCGTTCCGCATCTTTCTAATTTTTGTGCTCGATTTTGTACATAGAACAGCTTTTCTTATTTCTTAATTATTGAAGAACTGCTTCTTTATCACTCCAGTTTGCGGTTTTTTCTATTGTGTAATGACCTGGTACTTTTTGAAGAGAGCCAATTTGGTGCCTATATAAGGTAGTGGCAGTTCCAGTTGTGGCACTGTCCTGACTTTCAGTGATGCCACTCTAGCTTTGGGAGTGACTCAAACTTGTTTACATGAGTAACGCTGAAGGAACTGCACCATAAGTCTTGGTGGGAGAGTCAGAGAACACAATTAATGTGTAGCACTTTCCTCTTGATCTAGTATTTGTCTGGGAAAGTTAATTTGGTGGAGTTGTGTCAACTCAATGGAGCCCCACACTCCTGGCCTGACTTATTTCTAGAAGTAAGCTCTTGTCTTCACGCAGTTTGAGTTTCCATGCTTCCTGTGCAAGCGTCTTAACTTTTATAGTAATTTGGTGAGACAAGTCCTAATGGATCAAAACAAAGTGATCTCTACGACAATAAACTACATTGGATGCATTTACTGCGAGGTTTGTTGTGTATTTCTTTAAGGTGCAAAGTATCTTCCCGTGTATCCCAAACCAATTATGCATATTATTGCAATCGCGAGCTTCTACACGAGGGAGTACAATTTTAGGATTTCCCGTAATTCAGCAGAATTATATGTTCCACATCCTGAAAGGCGTATCTGCGCCTCCCATTTCCTTGTTAGCTTCTACATATGCTGACTTAATCCTCCTCTTCGTTCACTGTACTTTGAAGACTGTTGGCATAAAAAAGTCTACTTGATGTGTCTGAGCGGATTTGTTGATTTCTTCAAATGAGTGCTCAGAGTAGCTTACATCAAGAAGGTAGTGATGCTGCACAGGATACAACGAATTTGAGCAGACGGGTTTTTACAAGACTGATAATCGTGTGGATCCTCTTGCCACAGAAATCGAGTACATTCTCTGTCGACTGTCATAGAACTCCAACAAGTTCGTAATACAGAGTTTTCCATCCCTAAATCCGTGCTCGTTTTCTCATAAGAATTTTTCTCTCTCCAAATGGGGCGATATTACTGTTCTTCCAATCTTCTCCAGAACTTTTGATAGCGCGCGCGCGCGCGTCCTTGCTTACTTCCTTGCTCGTGTACGTGTCTGCGCTAGCGAGTATGATCATGGATGAGTTCTGCAACACCAGTGGTCAGAGAGAGACGTCGACCTGTGACCTGCCACGCACGATGCTTATGTATTAAGAATCAACACACACTTACACGCTCAGCGAGGTCACCCTCTAGTTTTGCATACTAACAACACATGCCTTCAATACACACATGTGTGTGTCTACCGACGCTCTTACCTAGTTCCACAAAAATAC